TGTTATCGGATAACAAAATGTCTATCTGACCGTAGAAAGCCTGTTAGATGGTGACTACCAGATTGCACTTTTCTGAGAGTTGTGATGGTCCATGGGTTGACAGTTTCTGTCCATATTGATCATCTAAGAGATGAATCAGTGAAGAATCTTACCCTTTTCAAATATGCTGCAGTCCAGAAAGGGCAACAAAGGAGCATCAGTCTGATGAGAGCAACAGTCATAACCAGAATGGAGTATGGAATCCACTTGTGTGCATCTTCAGCAAAGTCATCAGTACCAAGTCACAGAGGGTGCAGAATACAGCCATGAGAATAGCAACAGGAACAGACAAACCAACATCCTGCACTTTTGACTTAGTTTGGGCAGCATTATTAGAAGACAAAGGACACTAGTTAATCAACTGTTACTGAGAGCAAACACAACCATATCTCACTTACTGTATGAGCACTTGAAAGAGAGAGCAGATGAATCAGTAATACAAAGATTGAATCAGTCAAATCATGGGTCAGCAAAGCCGAGAAAGATATGCAGGAGACATATCCACTGAAAGAAGAATAGCAAGTGTATTGAAGGGTCCAGGCAGATGCAGTGAAGATTGGTGGAAAGATGAAGAGGGAAAGCTCAAGATTGATCAACACATGCAGAGTTATGAAATGCACATACAAACTGAGACTGATACTGACTATAGCAATGGATGGTTCATTTATGAAGCACGTGACTGCATGGGTAGTAGCCATGTGGAGAGAGCCATGTGTTTGAATGGTCAGTGAATGATCCAGTTCATTCAATTTGTTTTGAATGTTTTAGCAGTGAAAGACTAAAGGGAAGGCAGCTAGTCATCACCACCCACTGCCAACTCTTGGGCTACTCTTTTACAACAAATAGTAGGATTGACCATCACATTATAAGGCCCCATGGCTGAAAGGGTGAGCATATTTGGTTGGACGGGGATTCGAACCCGCGAACCTCAGATTAAGAGTCAAGTGCCCTAACCACCTGGTCATGCTGAGCCAGTTCATTCAAAGAATGTGATGAATGCACTTATCTGGTTGACCAGTAATGGTGAATATCATGATATGATCATACTCATGATAGACTCCCTAAATCCCATCACAAAATTGAAGACAGGTTTTATCCAAAAAAATGAGTAAAAGTACAGAGAGATTTATAAGTTAATCTGATAATTACCTGCCATTTGATGAGAAAGTGAACCACTTAACTAATAAGGTGCAGCCTTTGGGTGACTTGGTAAGGGCTCTGAATAATGTTATCAATACAATAGCATCTAGACTGAAGGAATAGGAGCTATATTGGTGAACTGTAAGATTAAAAGAAAGAGGGTGGAAGTACAGAAATGACATGAGTGCGAGTATGTGAGAAGGACAAATGCTAGTTAAACTAAATTGAATCAGGCATTTCAACTAGGATAACCTTGAGAAGATTATTTGGAGAGAGGAGAGCTTGTGCCAAGGCTGGTGCCATAACCCTTCAGGCCAAAATAATCTTATTTACACTGGGCACCTTGTGTTAAAAATAAAAATAATTATAAAAGTGACATATCATAATTAATAATAATAAGGTATAAAGTAATGATTGTTGCTAGTTGGGTGCCTCCCTATGGCTGGTAATTCAGAATTAGTGAATTTAGAATGCTACTTGGACTGCACAACAGTTGTGTATTAGTTGAGTATGCTGAAGGTTTCCTTCCAAAAAGCATGTTGAAATAAATTAACTGAAGGCAGTCATTTCAAATTTTTATCTGGTTGATAGATGATGTTTTACTTCTTTTTAGAGACAGTTATTTGATATTTAAAGGATGGCTCTTCATAGGTGCTGTTTTTGACCCTACTATGAATTTCAGTCAGTATTACACACATGATAGCTTGACATGTACCAACTACAAAAATGCCCTTGTTTAACTTATCAAATATGCTGCAGTACAGAAAGTGCAGCAAAGGAGCCTCATCAGTCTGATGAGAGCAACAGTCATGACCAGAATGGAGTATGGAATCCACTTGTGTGCATGTGCAGCAAAGTCAGCAATGACCAAGTTACAAAGGGTATAGAATGCAGCCAAGAGAATAGCAACAGGAGCAGAAACACCAACACTTTACACCTTTGGCTTAGTTTGAGCAGCATTGCTAGGGGCAAAACTGAGGAAGAAACTCATATATGAAATCACTAAGTTTTTCCTGTAACCCACAGAAGGTACGGCTAAAGCAAGCGTAAAGCACAAATGTGATGTGTTAGGGTATGTAGAGATGTGAAATGTTCAAATCCACAATGTCTATATCACATTGTCAGCTTTCACTAGAATCTTAGTCGTCAGTTTCCTGAACTATTACTCCACACTTCCACATCAGTGATATAATCTTGAAAGTGTCCAGAATTCCTATGATTGGTGGACCAGTGTTGCATTTTCCATATTTAAGCATGTCTGCTGGAGAGTCTTGAAAAATATAAAGTATGAATATTAGGTGCCACAGTATTATGAATGTCAGGTATATATGATGCCACCATATATATGAATTAATATTAACTTGCAATCAGAGCAAGCTATGTACTTAGAGCAAAACTAAAAATCAACCTGATTGTCAGTATACCTAATTAAATATACTTTTGTTACATTTCTACTTGCAAACATTAAAATGCATTATTTCATCAGTTGAGTACCCTTGCTGTTAATAACATTTTCACCAATAATCCCAATAATATCTCTCAAGGTTTGGTCAGCTTAGGAGATTTAGGTTAGTCCTAAATATATATATATTAAACTAATAATGTAAAACAATCTTGATAACCAAATTATAATAATAAACAATAAGTCAAAAGAAAAATTAATGAGATTTGATATACTAACTAGTATAACCAATATTGTTAATGAAAATAACACTAAGTAAATAATATACCTTACATAGAAACACAAAAACACTAGCTGTCAGCTTGAATTACTGTTTTAGAAGAAATATGTTTGGAAAATGTAAACTTAGTATAACATTCTTGTTTTCTCTATTCCTCCGTAGCCTATATTTTTGCCAAAGAAAATTCATTAAGCCACCCATACTGAATAGTGTCAGAGACGAGTAACATCTGTATTTGACCCGTGCTACTGTTTAAACTGTTTTGAATTTCTAACAATAATTTTTCCTCTTTAGACTTATAAACTGATTTTTTGAAAATACGAAATAGTAACTAAAAGATTAAAATAATACCAAGTTGAACTGTCCATGAAAATGTAAGAATGTTAAATACAATATGAACTTATGTGGTGTGTCTAAATAATCTTATCACTCTTACTTTAAGTATCTACTGAATATGAGATGTCGCTGTTACTGAGTTCTTTAGCATCGTAACATGATATTTATACCATGTTCATTTTTTATATGTGTTCTTTGTTCCATTACATATACTTCATTCTTACTGTTGTAGTGAGTGAATGTGCTCAGTGTTAAGGTTGAGTCCATATCTGTCTAAATTATTGATCTTTCTGGAAGTCAATACAGTATCTATAAAATTGCACTCCATATTGACAAACATATTGCACAAATCTTCATAATGACTTGCTGAGAGGTATGGCAGTACCGGAACTACGAAAAGTACCACTTTGTGTTCCCTTTATCTGTACCTTATTGGATTTTAGGGCTAAAAATGACACTCATGCTAGTTATATCAAATTTATTTGGGTTTTATAACTGGAAGAATCTTAAGGAGATTATTGGAGGGAGGAGTGCCATACTTTCCAAGTGTACAATAGTAGAACTGCTATTCAAATAATCTTTTAGAAATAATTCCTTTAAATTATAATAGACTGAAATTTTTGCACTGGGGGAACCACTTTGGCCTTAGAAGTATCAAGGAAACAAAATATAATGAAGTATTCTTGATATAAGCTTTTTGAGCAGCTACACCAAGAAAGAGACTTGTTTGCAAATGGACTGGATAAATTTAACTCAATTCAGTAATCTAATTTAGTGTATACATGAATGTATCATGCCTTCAGGAGCAGTACAGGAATCCCTCGATTAGTGCGGTTAATGTGTTCTTTAAAAGAGCCGCACTAATCGAATATAATAATTTATAGGAAATCATATAATTCGAACCTCAATTTTCATTCTCATTCAC